TTTTTCATTCTAACCGAGTAACAGACTATATTTCCTCCACGACCTAAAAGTATGAATCAAAAACAATTAAATTTAATCTGAACAAAATAAGTTATTTATTGAGACATTTGTATTACATTAATCTTTATATTTATAGTTTTGGTACAATTAATGAAATTAAAAACTGGTGCATTGGAAATATTTTCTGTAATATTTTTCAAAACAGATTGATTCGTAGAGGCAGACTTAACAGTCGTGTAGCATAAAGGATTCGAGATTGAGGGGACGGTTACTAACGAATTAGACCCAGTAATTGAAGAAACTAATTGATTTGCTATAATTATTCGATTTTGCAGAGAATTTTCTACGTATGCTTCTGCTACTTGAGAAGACTTCCAACCTCCATGCCTTTTCAATGTTGTAATATCCGCACTTGCATTTACCAATGCGGCGTAGTTGCAGTGACCAGTATACTCTTGAGGGTTGTCTAGATTCAGAAATGTGGCAATTTGTTTAGGTGTATTGCCCAGTTTATTTAACAATGTCGTGTACATTAATTTTTTTTTGGAAATTTAAAAAATTTTCACGAGGAACAGTATAAGGTATCAAAGCCCAGTATTTTTTTTATAATATTATAAAAATCTCCCGTGATTGTAAACTCTCTTGGTTTTTTAGTTTTTGTATAACGAATTGCAATTAGTATTGCGGATCCCAAATCTTTAATATCGGAAATTTAAATGTTGTGAAGCTCATGCTTGTGACAAGCCCCCAAAACACCAATGACAAGGGCAACCTAACAATAAAAACTACATTTTATTAAAATTGCTATTTAAATTATGATTTTTATTACTTTTTAGCTAGATATATCTCATCCGGAGCGTTTTTTAAGAATTTTCTTCTGTAAAAATCTTCGATTTCTTGGCTACGTGCTTTTAAGAGCATTTTAACAAAGTTTTGAATTTTTTGTATCTTGAAATATCGATATCGTGTTTCATATTTATCGTTGCTTTTAGGATTGAATATATTTCCCATAGAGTCGAGAATTTCCATTTTTTATAAATCAAAAAAAAATTCAGTGAAAACATTTTTGGAAAAGGTGTCCGTTTTCTTTTCGTGTTGCCAATCCCGTAACAGCGCATGATACTTTCCATATTCACGTCTTGATTTTTGCGGCAGCAGGTTCACGCTTATATTATTTGCATAATTTGTAATTTCAGGTGGAGTATTATCAAATTCTATATCTGATTCACTCGATTTTTCACTCATTATTTTATTTACTAAATCGCTAAATCGTTTAATTCGGTTACGGAATATTCATAATTATTACATGGTCGTGGAGAAAAGTAACTTTCCCGTACCGTTTTTTTTATCTACATTTTATACAGGGCGATTTCCCTTTAAATACAGAAACTGTAGGACTAGATTCATTACCAAAAAAATAAGTAGAGTTTGATCTATAAACTTTTTCCTGTGAGACTCGGTATTCGAGATAAAGGGTGTTAAAGTTTACAAAAAATATATATATTTTTTCTGCTATAAGTAGTATCTTCATAATGCGCTGACGGAATTGAATGAAATTTACTACAGCGTATTACATAATTAGACCTTTTATTGAATATAATACTAACCTTGTGACTGTTGCGTTAAATGAATAAAAAATGTTTCATGGTGTTTTTTAATATTAGTAGCGGTTTAGAATATATTTGGTTTGGGTTTTATTGAATTTTCCTCAAAGGTGTGGTGTTAACGTTTACCCATATGCATAATTTACTGTAAAATTTGCAAATTTTTGTAAGTCAATGGCGTAGGAATGGGTGGTAAAGTGGGATTTTTTTACCTCAACTTCTACGCCAATGTCCCAATAATCATTTGGGATTCATTTTTAAACTCTGTAGACAATTCTACATAAAAAAGGTATACTGTCAGAGTGGACTTTCACTATAAAAAGTAGTGTTGAGTATACTATTTTCCCTATATTTCAAAAATATTTAAAATAAAACTACCTGCCCAATTATATTAGATTTTTTTTTTCAAAATTTTTCCGCCCTCTGGTATGGAAGTCAAGAGACCGCCACTGGTTTTTATTATAATATTTCGCTGTTAGATAGGTAATCTGTTAAAGTATGTACCTACTAACCAGCGGATGTAGATAAATCTAATTCCAATTTTTTCTCTAATCTGTTCTATTGTATACATTACATTACCGCATCCGATATACAGTCTCACAAATCAGAAGGCCGATAACTACAGATTACTTGCAGGAAAATAGGACTTTTATTATGTCATATTAAATTTGGACAATCCGTTTTCGAGATACAGAGTTTTAATTAGGAAGCATATATTATTTTTACAAAAGATAGACCAGTAGACTATTGAATATTATTCAAATTTCTATTATTTTACTGAAGCCTGACGTCTTTCTGTTTTCACTCTGCATCTTCTCGTCCCCAATTTACAACCTTATTTTTCTTGAAACTGAGAAAGAAATAAATAGTAAGACATTGCTTAAAAAATGATGTTTTGTAATGGTAAGCATAAATTTGCTTATGTTCCAGGAAGAAACAGAAGTAGTGAAAAAAAGTGACAAATTGACTGCATTTAATGTACCTGACGATAAAAAGGAATATGTAGATACGACTGAAGCTTGGACAGGAAAAGATATAGAGGAAAAACCAACGGAAAGGTATATATGCCAACTATTTTCAAAGTAACCACTAAATAGATTCTTCAGTTCATGTTTCATCATCAAAAATAATCTTGTTTAATTGATTACACATGGTGATATTTTTTGGTTCTGTAGTTCTAATTTTCAATTTGCAATAGCGAGATAAGAAATAATCCTATTTTTTATCGACATGATACCCTGTGGAATAATTATGTGCTGTTAACTTTATTAAATACGCTTCATTAAATATACTGATTCATTTTTTTATCATGTTTTTCATTCGTTCAAAAGATTGCCCGATTGTTTAAAGAAAATATTTAAAATTTCGTATACAAGGTGGTCTGTAAATAATTCCGTGGAGACATATTAGATTTTTCCCCCTTTTTCCCTTGAAAATATCACGACGTGAGTCAAAAAGTTTTAAAAGCTAAACCGCAATAATAAAATATCTAGTATATTTCTATGAATCATTGTTTGGACCACCCTGTAGATACTGAGTGTAAAGAAATCGAAAATGTTAAGTTTTTCCTTTTATCTCCACTATTACGCTACCAACTTTTACAGTTTTTGCATTTAACTGTTTATTTTCCAAGTATATAAATCTTTAACTACTCTAGTGCTTGTTGTCAGTGCACTAGATACATTTTTCTACAAAGAATGCAATTCGGCAATTCAGTGCAACCTTATACAGATGGAAAAAAACCTTATCAACATTCTTCTTCTTTTCCTTTATGACATTGTGATTTAATTTAGGATTTAGTCCACGGATTAGAAGACTCTATATTAGAGATGAGATGCACGATACTCCAACAAATACTAGATACATTTTTTTATAAAGAAAGCAATTCATCAATTCAGTGCAACCTTGTACGGATGGAAAAAAAACCTTATCAACATTTTTCTTCCTTTCCTTTATGACATTGTGATTTGATTTAGGATTTAGGCCAGATTAGAAGACTATATTAGAGATGAGATGCACGATACTTCGACAAATAGCGATACTGATGTATCGTATCGTTTCGTTTTAAAGTACTAGTTTTGTGCAATACCGAATGAAAAAGTACTGGTACACAAAAAACCGGTACAGTCACGATCGGGCATCTGTCAAAGAGTAAAAAAAACTATATAATTTTTTAAATCTATACAATACAGTACCTATAAATCTTCCAAATCTTCTTTTTAAACGAGGCATATTATGTGGAAACATAAAAAACAGCATAAAAAGAACAAATTAACACTTTAACAAGATTTGTGATCTAACTGTAGTTGAGGAAATACTGCATTTTAGTTTTTTTTTTATAATAAAAAAAAGTAGTACGGTCCCGCTTCTAACATTCAAAGACAGCGACAGATTTAATTTCTTTAATTTAATTTTCAAATTGCTACACAATCATGTTTTAGTTTAGTTATTTACTGCTATAATATATGTCACTTTTTTAGAAAGTTGCACGTTCGGTATTTTCGGTATTTCAGTCAACGGTTGCCACTGCTGCCAGTAACCAATAAACTCCAACCGAGTATCGGAATGAAAAAACTGGTACTCAAAAAATCGTACCATACCGTGCATCTCTACTCTATATATGTCTCGTATCATGTTAAAGAAGAAGAAACTAATAGTAATCAGTTATCAGTTTAAATTTAAAAAAAGTGAGGTTATGGTTCATTTTGTCGCTTCTGTTACAATGTACAATTTTTTAAAGTAAAATGGATAAAGTGATCCCATTAATTTGATACTAGAAATAATGTATTAAATTTACATTTTTTTTACTGTTGATTTTTGTGGATATCCAAGAAAACATTTTTTTACGGCGGTTTTTTTTTATTTCAAGAACTTCTACGGCCGGAATCACCTATAAAACAACTTCAACTCTGTAAGTAACACGTATACTATTACAATTCAGTTTATGATGCTCTGATAATATACAAATACATTAATTTTCAGTGGAAATGATATAGACAATATACCAGCAACAGTCTCAACCACAAGAAGTTTTGAAACCACAACGAAATCGCCACAATTTAAGGATGAAGATAAGAGTACCATAAGTTGGAGGTAAATAATCTAAATGTTAATCTTATACCTATTGAAATTTAAAATTATGTTTTCTTGTAATTGAAAAAATTGGCTTCATGTAACTGATGACCTCTGCTGTTAAATCCGGCTTTGAAAACGTAGTTTTCTAAAATTTATTGATTATTTTTTAAACAAAAAAAGTTAGTAAGTACATCTCGTATAGGAAAAATTTTCATTAGACTTGATAAGTACCAATACTAATATGGTCAATTGCCTTCTTCATCATGAAAAATTACAAATACGTTGATTTTCAGTGGACATGACATCAACAAAGTACCAGGAACGATTTCTACTCAAGGAACTTTTGAAACTACAACAAAATCATCACAATAAGGATGAAGATGCGAGTACCGTAAGTTGGAGGTAAGTAATTTAAATGTTAATCTTGTATTGAAATTTAATATGATGTTTTCTTGAAATGGGAAAAATGTAAACACAATTAATTTCATGACGAACAAATGCACTTTCCATGTGCTGTCGGTTTTTCAGTCAACTTCAAAGAGATTTGCCTCACACAGTAGTGTTAATGTGGAGTTGATTTTCAGTGTATCTGTAATTTTGCGTCATTTTATTACATAAATGGATTTTTGTAAGACTGATGTTTCATTTTGTAAAAAATGTCCACTGTTCACAATTATATCTGATTGTATGTGGAGAGGGGGGGGAGGGAGGAAGGGGGAGGGAAGGGGAGAGAGAGAGAGAGTAATAAGGAACAGAATAAATTTACAATTTTCTCCACTGTCACAAACAGATTTTTAAGTTCTCGTTAATTTGATTTTCAGAAAAATTACTGTACCTCTCTAGTATCTGTAATAAATATACCAGTAAAATACACAGGGTGATTCACAAATGGTGACCAAAAATGAAACCTCGTATTATTTGGTAAATTTTAAGAGGAGTCTTTCCTATAAAGTTTTTATCTAGAACGCTTCGTTAGAAAGATACAGGGTGTTAAACTTCAAAAAATATTTTTAATTTTTTTAAATAATTTAAAGTGAAATAATTTGCAATTGGGCACATGTATCTATGTAAACATTGTGCAAAATCTGAGGGCTTTTACTAAAATTTAGATACTCCGGTGGTGGAGATACAGGGTGTCTGTGGCATATTTTTCTAAATAAAATAGTACGCCACTGCTTTACGGTAACAACCACGATATTTTCGGATTCGTCTTTCAATTTACTACAAATTACTACTCTCTTATGTTTTTCGAAAAAAGCGTGATTTTCGAGTAAAATCTAAGATAAGAACTGTTAAGAATTATTCTTATTTTCCAGATTTTGCAACAATTAAATCTGATTTTACGAACAACAATTTTTTTTTATATTTTTAACTCTAAGTTAAAACTGTATTGACTCATTAAGTCTATATTTTTGTGAGTGACTTTTTCCATAAAATGAAAAATGGAATTTTTCAGCTCTATATGTAGATTCACCACATTTTTTGATGATAGAAAATATGGTATATTTATTTTTCTAGTAGTTTATTTCTCGTATAATCATCCTGTTATTTAATTTTTTTTTTTTATTAAAGAAATGTGATAATAATAAATGAATCAACAAAGAAATCCGAGGATGAATTAACTACATCATATAAAGATGAAGATAATGGAAGTACCACCAACGTACCATATGTTACCAATAAGTATGTACCATACACTAGACCATTTATTAACATTGCGTCTTTCTTATTAAACATTTCTCTGTTGCAGTGATCAGAATACCTCGGACATATCAACTGAAGGGATTAACAAAGGAACATCGAAAGAATTTATCCTTGAAGGAGTGATTGACCAAAGTACGGATGAAAGGTGTGTAAAAACTACTTTTTTCAGTTTTGCATTTATTTTTGAAAATAAAATATATTTAAATACTTCGTGTGGATAAAGCATATGTTAAATAACTTAACGGAAAACTTTCTTTTCTTATTTTTAAGTTACTGTAGTTACTCAAAAGAAAGGTAAAATATTTTAGGTAACAAACAAAAAAACTCAACACCTTGCATCGTGTTTAAAAAATTGATCATGCCCACAAATACAAGTTAGTCCAATGTTGCTTCATTCACATGTTACAGTATGTTTTAAGCTTTTGAAAAACTTTGAAGAAACACAAATATGTCGAAAGATAGATTAATGAAGTTTGGGCTGGCGACATATCTGAATAAAAGTAAAAGTTCACTTAAAACAGTGGGAGAAATCCTGCAAACTCTAATAACTCAAACATATTAAGAACCGTTTTTAACAAATTTGGTCTGTATTTTTAAAAAATGGTTTAGTGGCTTCATTCGTATGGCACCCAAGTTCCATGCTTCTGAATCATACTGAGTGTATTTAAACGTTTGGAAACTGTTGTGCGATCAACATCCAAGGAGACAGCAAGTTCATCTTGCGTTTGACAGGAATCTTGGTCGAGTTTTCAACAGCAGTCGATAGTTTTGTTGGCTTGTTATTCGACATCTTTGGAGCTGTTTACACTTCAGAAAAATGACACATAATAAAAAGTACAGCGTAATGAGGAAGTTTTGACATGAATATAGTTACAGAAGTGTCCGATGCGATATAGCATAAGTTACACTATCTCTTGTAAATCCCTCAAAATTAATTCACGGTCCTAGTACATACATATTCAGTGTAGTAGCATTAAAAAAGTAAAATCTCTAATAGTTTTTTTTTTGTAGTTTGCTAAAAATGGCTTGTTAACTTTATATACTTGAAATTCTATAGGTTCAATTAATTCACGATTTCAAAGAAAAAATATTAATTATTAATTACTTAACGTAAATTTTAGAAGTTAATGTCGTAGATATAGGTTCTAATTGGCCCAAAGAAACATACGAAAAAAAAAATTCAAAAAGTTGGAATTAAGTTGTCCTTTACAACTAATAAAGTAGGACGTGCAAAACAGCGTTATAAACAAATTGTACCAGGGTCAGGCAAAAGCCGCTCGTGAATTCGCTCTTTTTGCCAAGGTAACTTTTCTTTATAATGTTAATTGTAATTAACTATTGAACGTATCGGACCAGGATTTTAGAGACAGTTAAAGAAAGGATTAAACTTGTATTTCCAAAAAGTTTTACACTGATAGTTAATGTAATAAACGTGCTAGCAGCAGTAAAAGTTAACGTTAATAAACGGCCTGCACGCGGGAGAGGGAGCGCCAGGCCCGCGCACGCGCGTAACGCCGCCCTCGTCGCGCGCGAGATTTTTTAACCAAGTCAATTTATTTTACAGTTAAAAAAATCATGAAGTATGACTTTAGAGACCCTTATTTGTAGGTAATTTAATTGCCTACAATATAAAATGACTAATTATCCGATAGGTTGTCTAGAAAAAAAGTGAAAAATTTGACACTTTTTGCAACTTAGTGTCACTTCTTTCAAGTTACTTTTTTGATATTATCATCTTACATACCCCCTCATAAAGTGCAATAGTCTACTAATAATTTTTTCACTTTCAAACACTAATTCGACTGGAGTAATGAAGCAATTTTGGAGTAAGGTATATTTAGCTACATTCTGGTCGCAAGATTATCTGGTATCATTTTCGATGCTTTATATAAGTACCCTGTATTTTCCCTCATAAAGTTGCTAAACATATGCTAAAATCAACGCAATAAAATTTCTGGTTATCTTAATTTCTCATCGTGCAAGCTCCATTTCTATTCTATCTGTTTAATTTTGAAATACCCTTTTGCTTTGTCCTCTTTTGTTATTTCCAAAATTTAGTACAGCAGCAAGTAGTGTTAATGGCCCTTTTTAGTTTCAAAATTAGTATAAGACAATACAATAAGTTTCAGCACCCATTTTATTGATCCTATAATTCGCACAAATTTAAAAACAATATAAAATAAAAATTGTCAGCTTTTTGTCAGTAACTTATCATCAAATTCTGTGAAATATCAGTAATTCGATTGACTTTGTATCTCATGATAACAGGGATCCTTAAGGTGCAGACATCTGGTATGTAATTTAATTTAATAAGTTTTGTAAATTTTTTATAATCAGCTTGGATTAGTTCAGTTGTTTGTCTGAAACAAATATTTTTTTCAGCACTACTACAGAAAATGATGCATACTTAACAACTACTGAATCTATCGATACTGGAATCAATGATACCTTATTCTACCGTGACGTTATTGCCACAGAAGTCACAAAGAATATTAAAGGTAATCAATTTGCATCTATAAATATGTAACAAAGATAGAGGATATTGTGATAAAGTAAGTCACGTCATTAACTATGGATTATATTCTGGGACTTATACTATTTTTCCTTTAGGTGACAATTTTCAAGGTACAGAGTGTCGATTACAATTTAAAATAATACAATGTTGTAGGGGTTTTCACTGCTTTTCCGGGAAAATTAAGCTTTATTCGAAAAAACTAGAAAAACAAACATGTCGTTGAAAGTAGCCACCACTTTTTTCCTATTTTCTGGCAGCATTTAATCCCATCGAAAAACCTTTCCCTTTCTGTCATTGAAGCGTTAATTTTTAATACTTTCAAACATTTCGAAACTGTTGTTCTCCTAATGATTCTGCAAGTACAGCGTTTGACATGAGTCTTAATGAAGTAGTGCCTCCAATTCTTCATCTTCAAACTACTTCGGTACACCAAAGCATTCCTTATTTTCAAAATCATTATTTTTGAAGCATCTAAACCAATCTCTGCACGTTGTTTGTGACAGCATGTTCCCGTAAGTTTCAACAAGAATTATGTAGGTTTCAGCGGCAGATTTCTTTCGAATAAAGTAAAATTCCCCGCAAATACCCTTATTCCGGCACAACATTCGATAGATTTAACGTAATGAAAGCACTTTTGCAAAATAGCATACACTGAGCTCCAAGCTAACTACTTGCATGTGTTCTGGTAACGCCATCTGTTGGAAAACTTATTCAACTCGACTTCCTTTTATTTTCCTAGAAAGCACAACCACAGCTGTTCCACCCTTGCCAACTACTTCAATATACACTTCTCACCCAACATACTATGGGAACTACCGGTATCCATCATTTTCTACAACGGAAGATGAAAATTCAAGCACCGAAGAAAGTACTTCCGAAAACATTTTATCAACAGCAAGGATCCCACTCTTACGATCACTTAGTGGAAGTCCTTACAGCACTGGCACAACAGATACAGCAAATTTGGAAAGTACAACTAATACTTTCCGAAAAATTCACTACAAAGGGGATACCACAGAACGTATAACAACAGGAGGAACTTTCGGAACTGAAAATGATTCAAGTACAACCGATTTATTTAGATCTACAACGAAATCTGGGCGCTTGACACGCACAACTGATGCTTACCATAAAAATAATTACGCTGACAGTACCACGGAAGATATGACGTCAGCTTCTGAAATGAAATCGACTTATAACGAATACGATACGACTGATGTACAAGAAGCTACGGGTGATTACCAGAGAAGTAATTACAAATACGCAAGCAATTTGCTTACAAAAGATATCACGACCGAATCTTGGGATTCGTCAACCGAGACGGAAACTGTCAGCATTCTCAATATGACGTATACGCAAACCACTACGTCTGTGCCTCTAACAACGACAGAACGGAAAAATCCCTTCACTTCACAACCAATGAAAGGTAAGATGTTTTTATATTAGAACAGTTATAGTAAAAAATATGCTAAAATTCCGTTGCCTGGTTAAAATTAAATTTTTATTATACTCCACAGAGTGATAATTTTGAAGTCTGCAAGAAGGGTTCAGGTGTTTTTTGTATATTTTGCAAAATTAATTTTTCTTCCTAGTGATTCAGTCACAATGTCATTAATTTTAAGGGAAGATAGGGAAAATGAATAAAATAGGAATACGCGATTAAAAAATTTTTTAAATTCTAATTCTGAAAAAAATATTTTCAACCCCTTTCCGGACCTCTCTTGACTGCTGACCAAGCTNGATATCACGACCGAATCTTGGGATTCGTCAACCGAGACGGAAACTGTCAGCATTCTCAATATGACATATACGCAAACCACTACGTCTGTGCCTCTAACAACGACAGAACGGAAAAATCCCTTCACTTCACAACCAATGAAAGGTAAGATGTTTTTATATTAGAACAGTTATAGTAAAAAATATGCTAAAATTCCGTTGCCTGGTTAAAATTAAATTTTTATTATACTCCACAGAGTGATAATTTTGAAGTCTGCAAGAAGGGTTCAGGTGTTTTTTGTATATTTTGCAAAATTAATTTTTCTTCCTAGTGATTCAGTCACAATGTCATTAATTTTAAGGGAAGATAGGGAAAATGAATAAAATAGGAATACGCGATTAAAAAATTTTTTAAATTCTAATTCTGAAAAAAATATTTTCAACCCCTTTCCGGACCTCTCTTGACTGCTGACAGGACTGCTGACTACCGTAATATGGGGTCATTAACCTAGCTATTAATGCGTTTTTAATCTGGATGGAGCTACATCGAATAAAGACACATGAAGTTCGAGAATGCAAAAGTATTTTGCATTCGAGATGCAAACAACATTTTTTCAAAAACTGCAATAAAATAAGGCAATTGTGTTATATAAAATGTAATTTATATTTGAAATTGTTTGAACCATATTTGAATCATGATGGTTTAGGCGCAGTGACTATTATATTATATATTGTAATTCATATTCTATGAGTGTTTAATTCAAAATGAGCTCCGAAACTGAAGACGAGCTTTTACGATGGGAAATAATGGAAGCACAAAGTGTTGTTTCACAATTGCATAATCCCCAAACAATCGTTAAGACAGTACGAGATTGCCTACAACGAATTCAAAGGGTGGTGTAGTGTGAAGAAAATTCAAACTTATTGATTTTTTTATCTAAAAAAATTTGTGGCTTTTTAAGGCACAGAAAGGTATACTTTCACCAAGTTTCGTCAAAATTAAGTTATTTTTGCGGAAATGAGAAATAAAAAACGAAAAATCAGAAAAAAAAATAAGATTGTCACTACGTTTTATAATTGAATACGAGTTTTTAGTATTAGGTATGTTCGATAAATATTCGGTTTGTAGTACATATACCTTATTGTGTGACTTATTGCTTTTCAATTAGTATGGTACCTACCTATTTAAAATGACACTACGGCTAAAAAAAACACTCGCTCATTCGTCCATAACTTTGTTATTAAAGATTTAGAATCTGCTGCACTTTGCTGCTCAAAGTTCCGTGCGAAGTAGTAAAAGTTGTCCAAATTGCGATTTTTTTTTAAATACCTGCAATTAAGTCCACTTTCATATGTCACTGCCACAATTGTGATATTTTAAGATCTCAACTCGTGATACTCTTATAAAGTATAATCAGAAATGTTTTCTACAAAATGTGAACAATATTTAGTGAATATAAAAAAATAAGGTATAAATCTTAAAACCAGTTAATTGTAAACCCTTCAACCACAAATTCTTGAAACCATAAACCTAAAAACCTAACCTAATAAACCTAAATTCATTAAACCAAACCCACGAAACCTAAACCAACAGGTTTATGGTTGTTTCGTCATGACTTTTTAACTGATCCTGTATACTTAATTTTTCTTTATTGTAATAGTTTTAAAAAAAATCTAAAACGTTTGTGTCTTATGATTTTTTGGTAGCTGTCTTACTTTAGGAGATAATCAACCATTTCCGTTCATATCAGCGACTCTGTATTTCTAATGTTTGTTAATAAAAAAATTTATTTTATTCATTTTAGAAACAACAATGTCTTATGAATCATTTATTAACTATACATAATATTTTTATTGATCAACTGGGCATTTAATTACTGTTGGTGACCTTGGAGGTATGCATTTTATTCATACCTTATCATCCATAATAATTTATAAAAATCCTTAAACGATTTCTATACGCTGGAATATTTAATACTCAAAATCAGTACTTTTTTCGATGGGCCTATGATATGAACAGAAGCAAAAAGGATCAAAGAACCTAACATAGAGTAACAAAAGTTACTAGAAGTCATTAGATTTATGTATTGTTGCCGCTATGAAGATATATTTTACTAAGTATTGTTTATGATTGTTCGGAGCAATACGTTACCAAATTAAATATAACTTAAGAACAGCTTTATTAATGTGTTCTTAGTATAATATCAAGCAAAAGGGCCTTAATTACCTTGCTAATACTATAATTGATATTAATAAACCTGTGACAGTTTAATAATAATTACAATAATTATAGTATTGTTGCCTTTATTTTATTTTGTATAAAATAATTGGAATGAATAATTAAATTTTTAGAATAGACTGACACTGTTTAGTCAAATGTCACTCTTCCACTTAAAAAAACCAAAAAGTTGGTAGGGATAAGCACAAAAAATAAACAGAGGAATACATAATTTGACCTAAGCTAAAATAATGCATAAAAATTAACAGTACAAGACAAACATTTTCAAAATATCCACATTTGACTTATTTTCAAAATGTATGTCAAAAAATCAAACATGACAATGTTGACAGTAACTATTTATTGCAAATATCCATTGCAAACTGATGGTAGATGTTCGAAAATTGCTATACTGCACTGTAACTAAAAATTGAAAAAGTATAAATTCTAATCTAACTAACTTACAGTAACGACTGCAACAGTGCAAGAGCATCTTGCAGTATTGGTAGGGATAAGAAGGAAATCTCCCGTGATTGTAAACACTCTTGGTTTTTTAGTTTTCGTATTAGGAATTGCAATTAGTATTGCAGATCTCAAGTCTTTAATGTCAGAAATTTGAATGTTGCAAAATTAACATAAAAATAAAAACTACATTTTATTATTTGTATTTAAATTATGATTTTTATTACCTTTGTAGCTACATACAGGGTGATTCACAAATGGTGACCAAAAATGAACCCTCATATTCTCTAGTAAATTTTAAGGGGAGTCTTTCCTATAAAGTTTTTATCTAGGACACTTCGTTAAAAAGATACAGAGTGTGAAACTTCAAAAAATATTTTTAATTTTTTTAAATAATTTAAAAACTAGTAAGTGAAATAATTTGAAATTGGGCACACGTATTTATGTAAACATTGTCCAAAATCTGAGGGCTTTTCCTAAAATTTTTCTAAATAAAATAGTACGCCACTGCTTTACGGTAACAACCATTATATTTTCGGATTCGTCTTTCAATTTTTTACAAATTATTACACTCTTATGTTCTTTTTCGAAAAAAGCCTGATTTTCGAGTAAAACTTAAAAAACCAACTGAAAACACTTTTAATTGTATGACATGACAAGCACTAATCATTCGGTTATTTATCCGAATAAAGGAATTAATAACATCATTTTTATAATTTTATTTGAGTAAATGCTCAAAAATACCTGCATTTCTACGAACACCGGCTGAACATCTTTTTAGTAACGAAAATGTAATTTGTTCGAAATTTATTGTTGCTTGAACCTGATGAAAAGCATTATTTATTCTTTGTTCTAAATGCTCAGAATGTCAAAGTTGCTATCGCAGCTCACGATGTAATTTTAAAAAGCTTTATATTCGAATATCGAAGTGTGTTCTCAGTTCATTTTTTAAGGTTTACTCGAAAATCAGGTTTCTTTTGGAAAATCATAAGAGAGTAGTATTTTGTAGAAAATTGAAAGACGAATTCGAAAATATCATGGTTGTTACCGTAAAGCAGTGGTGTACTATTTTATTTAGAAAAATATGCCACTGATACGTCCTAGATAAAAACTTTATAAGAAAGACTTCCCTTAAAATTTCCCAAAGAATACAAGGTTTCATTTTTGGTCACCATTTGTGAATCACCCTGTATATCTTATCCAGAGCATTTTATAAGAATTGCTGGACATTTTCTTCTGTAAAAATCTTCGATTTCTTGGCTAGTGTTTTTCAGAACGTTTTAACAAAGTTTTGAATTTTTTGTATCTTGAAATATCGATATCGTGTTTCACATTTATCGTTGCTTTTAGGATTGAATATATTTTCCATAGAGTCGAGAATTTCCATGTTTTTAATAAATCAAAGAAAAATGCAATGAAAACATTTTCAGAAAAGGTGTCCGTTTTCTTGTTGCCAATACCTTAACAGCGCATAATACTGTCCATATTCATGTCCCAATTTTTGTGGCAGGTTCTCGTTTATATTATTTGCATAATTTGTAATTCAAAGAAAACGTTCCATATTATATTTCTTACCAGGACCCTTTTTTTGCACACACACCAAAAGAAAATAAAAATTAAGTTTGTTTCAAAATTGTACATAGTACGCCATCTGTGACAGAGACAAAAATAACCCCAGAAATTAAATTTACCGAATATGGCCTAAACAGTAGATGTCATGGGATAAATCAATCTTTTTTAATTCAATATAAAAAAATTTTATTTTCTTTCCTGCTAGTTCCGGCTATTATTATTATAAAATAATAATAACATAAAATATTTGTTGAATTTTGCTATAAATAAAATTTGAATTATTCTGTGGAGAAACATTTTTCTCCCAGTTCCGTCAAATCATGTTCAGCCACTGTAAATTAGTAAAAACAGAACAAAGAAGCAGACGACATGCCATTTACAGCTACAAATATTAACTCCTATTTTTATGTGGTATGTAACTCAGGGACGATTCCAGAAGTTCTCAAATAAGTTTTAACAATTTTGGTTATTATTATTTTAAGCGTCGTTTTGCAGCTTCAACGATTCTGAGTATTAATAATGCCTATTATTAATAAACACCTTGTATATCTAATATACTTTACAGCTACTACACCACCTTCCGCTCCTCAAGCTTGCGCTTCAAAGGTATGCAAGAACACCGCGTCAAAATTATTGTATCTAATGAACCACGATGATGACGATAGTTGTGAGAACTTTTTCGATTTCGCTTGCGGAGGTCAGAAAATCGACGAAGAGTATCCGAAGAGGAAGAACCTCAAGATGTTAATCAACTATCTGGACAGGATAAATGGTTCCGCCCATAAGTATTTGATGGATTTTAAGACGTTCTATGGTAGTTGTGTGAAGCACGAACAGAGTTTCAAGTTCATGCCAAGACTGGAATTCCGTAAGTAATATTTTAGTTTTGTTTTGAGATTTTGATTGTACAAGAGCGCCGTCAACTCAGGTTATGATTTATTTTGTATAGCGGCTGCCCGTTTTTCATGCCATACTGTGGGAATTTGTTATCGTGGGTGATTGATTGTCAAATTAGAGCAATATCACGGAATTTAATGATGAAATTAACAATTATTTCATTTTCAGTGATCACTAGCCCAAATATGAGTCTAACCGAGCTATTTGCTGAACTAATTTTGACTCAGTCTATGCCATTATTTGACATTGGAGTAGATAATAAAATGGATAGTTACATATTCGAGGTTTGTATATGTAGTAGATAGATGTTCTATTTTTATCAGGCTTTTGACATAGCGTATATAGGGTGAGTCAACGCTTTGGCAAAGTTAATTTACCGCTTTTCCGCAAAAAGTGAATATACATTTTAAGCAATGCTTTTTTGTTTCTGTTTCTTTAGCCCTAGTACGTCAACGCTATGTATGGTAAAAAAAAATGTTGATATTGTGAAAAATCGTATCATATGAGGAATGATATGATGTGAAATATAAATATCCACTCAAATACAGGGTGTTCCATTTAAAAAAATATAACTGTGGTCAACCATTCAAAAAACGAATCACCCTGTATAAGTAAAATTATTTTTAAAATGCCCCCCCTCCCCCTTCATCTTCAAATATTTTGCCTCAATTATATTCTAGCGGTAAATCAATTTTGCCACAGCATTGACTCAGTGTAATGTACAACAATGAGTTTACAGTGATGAATATTTTTTCTCGAAATTTGCAACAAACTATATTGAGGTGGTGAAGAATCCGGTGATACAGGCAGATTTTAAATAATAAAATATCTAATCAATTTTTATCTAAATAAACTCTGGGAAAAAAATAAACAGTGGGGTTTGATAATAACACAGGCCAACAAGGAAAAAATTCCAGAGATCAGACACTGCGTTTCCGAAGGCATTTGGCGCGCTGAATCCGAATCTGGCCTCAGAATTGATCCATCACCCTAGGTTTCCGAGATATTCTAACCTAAAAGTGCAAAAAACACGTATTTTTGCTATTTTCAAGGTTATGTAACTTGGCGAAAAAAATTTTTTTTCTCAAAACTGAAAATATCATTGGAAACTACTATCTTTCCCCTTCAAAACGCATTTTTTTATTTGTAAAAAGCTTTATTTTTCGCGGAGATATCGTCGATTAAAGATGATCAGTATAGCTACCTTATTAAACCATGGCTCGACCTATAACACAATTAATGGGTATTATGGGTTATTGGGTAATAGGGCTTGAAGTTAACCTTCCTGACGATTAGGGCTCACAGCGCTTAGTGTTGTGGGGTTATAGGGCTTGGGATTAACCTTCCAGACATATAGGGCTTGGGGTTAACCTTCCTGACGATTAGGGCTCGCAGCGCTTAGTGTTATTGGGTTATAGGGCTTGAAGTTAACCTTCCTGACGATGAGGGCGCTCGCTCCGCTTAGTGTTGTGGGGTTATAGGGCTTGGGGTTAACGTTCCTAACAATTAGGGCTAGCAGCGCTCAGTGTTATGGGGTTAGCCATGATGTAATAATATAGCCATACTGGTTATCTTAAATTGACGATATCTCCGCGAAAAATAGAGCTTTTTCCAAATAAAAAAATGCGTTTTGAAGGGGAAAGATAGTCGTTTCCAATGATGTTTTCAGTTTTAAGAAAAAAATTTTTTTCGCCAAGTTACATAACCTTGAATATAGCAAAAGTACGTGTTTTTTGCACTTTTAGGTTAGAATATCTCGGAAACCTAGGGTGATAGATCAATTCTGAGGCCAGATTCGGATTCAGCGCGCCAAATGCCTTCGGAAGCGTAGTGTCTGATCTCTGGAATTTTTTTTTTTTTGAAATTTTGTCGGCCTGTGTAATTGACACTGTATAGTCCAATCAATCTGTCAGAGCCTTATGTTAAATTTGCAAAAAATACCACCTGGAAACAAAAAATATGAATAGGAAAAAAAATTCTAAGAAAGCTAGTGTACTTTTCCTGTGGCGTATAAACGGCGAAGTTAACCTAGAAAATTAATAAAAGTCAAAAAAACGTTTTTTTCGCTAATAAATCCAATCAAAAAAAGTTAAATGAGAAAGTTGTAGCTATTAAAAAAAACCTATAGATTCATATTTTTAAATATATCGATTGTTATATTATTTTTCGAGAAAAAACTGGTCAAAAATCGACTTTTGTTGTTTTTGCTGTATCTCTTGCACATTAAGGTTTTGAAACTTGTTGCTTGATGTAAATGTAGCCCTCAGCAAGCAAAAAAGTACCTATTTTTAAAATTAAAAATATTAAAAATTTTTCGAGTTATAACGATTTTTCGAAAAAGGCCATCTCGAAAATCGCCTCATTTTTCTTGACGAATAGTCGTAGAGAAACGAATCAGGGCTCATTTTTTCCTTAAGAGTTGTACTTTCATGGTAAAAAAGAGTGATAAAGATTTTATTCATTTCAAGTGTCCAAAGATGACTTTGAAAAAAGTAAAAATTTTTTGCTCACGTTTTTCTTGAATATCTTTTTCGATTTTAATTTCTTCAATAATGTCTATTACAAAAAATTCCACAGTCCGCTATTTAAGCGCTACAGCGACCATTCTTACAGAGATTGAAGTTGAAGACTTATATTTCCAATAAAAAAATACTGTGGTTCATTTTAGCCACTTTTGCATTTTTAATTGTGCGTCAAACCGAAGCATTCGAGTGCGGCGCGAGCTAACTGTAGCGGGCGGCGGAGTGGGGGTAATGCTACTCGGCCGCTCCGAAAACTGAAGCGCTCTTACTTTCAAAATCTTCATTATCTCGACGTCTGGACCACGTACAAAAATTCTTTTGTACTTAATTGGGAGTAGCTCGACGAGATAAACCAAAATATGACGTTTACGACAACCTCAAAAGCATAATTGCCTTTGAAAGATGTAATTTTCCTTTAGTCTAAAATTCTCTCACCTCTTTTCAACATTTCAATAATTGTTTATGAAATAAAGTAAGTACAACGTTTTATGGTAATTATATCTTTTTGTTATATAAGTATTACAAAAATATTTATTTAATTATCGTACAGAAAATTACGTGGTATAAAAATATTCGTCAATTACATTTTTTATTTTCACAGCTTATTAACAAGCAAGTAACAAGTTTTAAAACCTTAATTCGCAAGAGATACAGCAAAAACAAAAAAAGTCGATTTTTGACGTTTTTTTCGATATATCTCGAAAAGTAATATCGATATATTTAAAAATACAGATCGATAAGTTTTTTTAATAGCTCCAACTTTCTCATTTAACTTCGATTGGCGTTCAAGTTTTTTTTTTTATTAGCGAAAAACCGTGTTTTTGACTTTTATGAATTTTTTAGGTTAACTTTGCCGTTTATGCGCCACAGGAAAAATACACCATCTTTCTTAGAATTTTTTTACCTATATCACCATATTTTTTGTTTCCAGGTGGTATTCTTTGCAAGTTCTTCTACCTATTGATTGGACTATTACTTTGACTTTGATAGTTGACACTTTTTTTTGATAATTGACACTTCAATTACTATTGTAAGATATTTGCACACTAAACACTGTACATTCTATTTTCTTCCTGGATTTGGTGAAACAAAGTTTCCAAAATGTGCGTTTTTTACAACAGCAACAGGGACACATTAAAATATTACAATTTAACCAAACTTACCTTAGTCCAAAAGATGATAGGTACTTATAAATATACATGGCCTCAACGTAAAAAATTTGTTTTCATTATTTTTAAGTAACCTTTACAAAATTACAGATATTGCAAACATTTCTGGGATCGGATGTTCTTTGAGGTCATGAATTCAAATCCGATAATGTTACTTATTGGAGGGCACCAGACTTGTCCTACGGAAAAAATGTAAACAATTATTATGAAACATTTTGTAAATTTCAAGACAATTGTTTTCAGTTTTTAAATAAATAAAATAAAATGTATCGATTTTGTAGTACGAAAATAGTGTTGTGCTTAAATTTTAGCTGGAATTTTAGTAATTATGAATCTCCTAAACAGGAACTTAACTTTTAATCAAATTACGTATTTGGAAAATATGTAATTAAAGCACCTAAAGATTTACGTCATACGTATTAAAAATAATTTAGGTACTTATCAAAAAGCAAAGTTTGAAACCATTGTTTATTTTTGTTTTTCAAAGCCTACAAAGTATTTAAGTATTTCTTGAGTTCTCGAACAACTTTGTTAAATACAGTTTTTAGCGAGAACAAAAATTAAAGGCACTTTGTTTAGGAAAAATTTCACATTTTAAAATTTTTTGGACGCCCTGTACGTTTTCTTATATCTTTGATTACTGCCCATGGCTTCCCAAGATCAGCAAAACTTTTTATCAAGAATACCTTGTTCTCGAAAAATTAACAATAAAAAAAGTTTACAAGAGTGCGATATCCCATCCGTGGACAGACTGTATAAGCTCTGCTTTTATCATCTGGAAATTGAGATATAACTAAATCTTTCTGCTTATAATTTTGCTCTTGAAATGTGCTTTGTATGAACGTAGGAATGGTTTTTGTATGAACAGTTTGAAGCTTTATTCCTCAAAATCGATTGCTCTATTCAAAACTCTAGCCTTCGTCTTTTAATAATGCAACCACTGTCAGAAGGACAACCTACCCCCTGTTTTTTTTTTCTTAGATTACCCTTCCGGGAAAGAGTTCTTTAAAGAATAGCGTCCAGGGCTGGTCATTGATGGATCAAATTAGGAAGGAATGCTTAGACACGCTCAAATTGTCAAAGAGAAAGCCTGAGATAAATTTGGACAAAGAATATTCGTCACTGCAGATTTGTCAGAGGGAGCGTTTTAAAAATATCGCTGAAGATTTTGTAGAAGAAATAAAACGGTTTTTGGATTATAGTCCTGTATTCAATGAGGTAAGTACGATTTCTGACATACTATAAAAATTTTATATGTTAGGTTTAGCGCAGCGTTAATATCAAGATTAATTCAATATACAGACAAATAGAATTTGAAAATCAAAACAGAAAATCCTTCCTAATTTTAAAGAGGTTATGTTGGTATGAAACTGGCCTTAACGACTTTGACTTGGAAAGTGCTTAAAATGAAACTATGCACCAATGCATAATATTCACTATTTATAATTCATTTTTTTTTGTGTTTTTGAAGTACAATACATTTATGAAAATGCTTCCCTTACAAATTTCTCATTTGTAAAAAAATGTTTACACTTTATTAGTATTCTTCTACAGCTCTGATAATATCAATAATACAATAACATGTTGCGACAAGTCAGTTATTTAACTTCTTATTGTTGTCTACTATTAATCATTATTGACTTAAGACTTATTGAATTTAATTCTTACTTTGATAAACAACTAAAGGGTTCTAAAGCTTTGTAATAATTGGAATAATTACATTTTCATCAACATATTAGTGTGTGGGGGCATTCCATCCCAAATCGACCACTTTTATTTAACCTTGACCCCTTTCGATTTGGCCGAAACTTTTTTATTGTTGTCTACCCCATTGAAAACCTCTCAGAATTTTTTCAAATTTTTTCCCACAACTCAAAAAAAAGATGAATTTTTGAAAAAAATAGCTTTTTTTTAAATCACTATAACTTTTTCAAAAATTGAATTATCGGGATGTTTTTTTTTTAAATTTTTGTTTTTAAATGTACTTTTTGAAAAAAAAGATCAAAATTATCTGGACCCATCATCACTTCTTTTTTTCAATTTTCGAAAAAAAACGAAAATTTCTCGATTACCATTTTTGAATATTTTTTTTTTCTTATAAAAAACTGACATTTTTTATAAATCCTCGAACTTTTTCAGTGGTGTTTTTTCGTTTTCTATTTTTTTTTTCATTGATCGAAAAAAAAATTTTTTTTCAAATTTAGCTTATTTCGCATACCATTTTGAAAATATTTGAAAATTTATCTAAATCCCAAAAAAAAATTCTATGCAGCGATTGATGACAATTTCAAAAAGTCAAAAGAGGATGGTTTCCAAATGATTTATTTTAGTTCAAATGCGTTGCCTTTTTTTAAAGCCCACTATTCGTCCAAAAATGGACCAAATAACTTTTTTTTTTCATTTTCTTTGTTTTTCGAAAAAAAATATAAAAATAGTATTCAAAACGATCAATTTTTTTCTTAACTTTTTCAAAAAGAAAAATAGCTTTTTTTATGTTTACCACTTTCAATTATTTCTTTCATATATATTTTTTCATTTTTGGGATTCTAGGTATATAAATTTTCAAAATTTTTCAAAATTGTGTTGAAAAAAAAAATTTTTTCAATCAATAAAAAAAATAGAAAACGAAAAACACCACTGAAAAAATTTGAGGATTTATAAAAAATGTCAATTTTTTAAAACGAAAAAAAAATTCAAATATGGTAATCGTCGAGAAATTTTGTTTTTTTTTCGAAAATTGAAAAAAATAGTGGATAGGTTCAGATAATTTTGATCTATTTTTTTTTGAAGAAGTACATTTAAAAACAAAAATTTTGAAAAAATAAAACGTCCCGATAACTCAATTTTTGAAAAAGTTATGCTTATTTAAAAAAAAGTTATTCTTTCAAAAATTCATCTTTTTTGAGTTTGGTGAAAAAATTTGAAAAAATTCTCAAAGGAGGGGCGAAAGTAATAAAAAAGTTTCGGCCAAATCGAAAGGGGTCAGGATTAAAAGTGGTCGATTTGGCGTGGAATGCCCCATATGTATTAATAGTGAAAGTAAAATGATAGTAAAATCCTCAAAAATTATTTTCGTGTTATGCTCCTTAAAATTCCTGGGCATTAATACGCTTGAGACTGTATTACTTTATCGTGTCTTTGTTCGAGTCGCCGCCGTTTTACCTTCAAAGCACAGCTCAAACGCATCAATTGCGTTCCATAGAGTTCACCAATTATGGTTTCGGTCATTGAAACAGCTCATAATTCACAACACCAAGCTGGTTCCACGAAATATAGAGCATGAGCTTCAGACCGTGCATATTCGGCCTTGCCGTCGATGTTGATGCATAACCAGACAAACCCTACGATTTTCTACGCTTGGGATTATTATAACGCATCCATTTTTCATCGCTAGTGACGATACCATGCAAAAAAACCATTTCCTTTTTGCCGTTGAAGCAATTGTCAACACGTGAAAAATCGCCCTTCAACCTCTCTCGACTTCATTCGTATTGCAACCAGTTTCCTTGCTTTTGGATCATACCGAGTGGATTTATACATGTGGAAACTGTTGTGCGATCAACATTCAACGGTTCAGCAATTCGTCTTGCATTTGACTTGAATCTTGGTCGAATAATGCTTCCAGTTCCTAATCTGCGAACTTTTTCGGGCATTCGTTGTCAACTGTATCGGAATCACCACTTCTAAAAAGTCAAAACCAATACTCACACATTGTTATATATATACGCATATGCACCGTAAGTCTCCAACAGCACTTAATGACTTTCAGCAGCACTTTGAATTAAACAGGAAAAGTAAAACTTCCAGCAAATGGTGTTTTATTAGCTTGCAATTCGACATCTCAGCGTTCTCAGTTTGTGCTCGGCATACCTGTTCAATTGTTGAAAGGTTGTTCGTTGTGTACACAAGTAGGATCTACAAATACAACAGTCACGTCACAGTCTTTCTCCCCCTACCCCGCTCATTAATGTGCCGAGTGGAACAAGCATTTTACGGGTTGCAACAAAATTAAGTTTACTGTAAAAAAAAGGAGATCGGTCATTGCAGAGTATTTTTTTATTGAAGTAAAAATATTCAATTACAACATGTGTAAATAAATGAGGTAGTAGCGATTAAAAAAAAAAATCTCGGCTCCTTTTTGTCGTAGAACATTTTTTTTTAATTCGTGAAAAAATGTCAGCTTTCAAATGGCAATAATGCCATTCCGTTTAAATTTCAACGATAAGAAAAAGATCTACATTTTTCGACCCAAAAAAAGAAGTCAAAGTTTCTGTAGATTTTTCGCATAATTCCAATTATTTGCAATACTCGCATAATTTGCACAGAAAACTACAACTCTTAACGAAAATTATAAGCTCAAGATGGGTCTATAAGCTCAAGATGGGTCACGTTAAGTGCATTATGATTTATTGAAACTCAATATTTGCAAAAACTATCCAATATTTTGCAATTTTACATAAATGGACTTATTCTACTTGCCAAAGACTACATATTTTGAAAGTTTCATAAAAAAATCTTTTTTCGTTTTAAAAAATATGCAATTTTTTTAACTAACATTAAACTAAACATTTTTTTCTAAAATGTTTAGTTTAATTTTTAAATGAAAAAAACTGTCTTTTGCAAACTTTGGACGCCATTTTGAAAATGAAGCCCTAGCAATCAGCTGGGGTAAAGTAGTTCTTATTTTGTATACCCAAAGTATTTCTCATGATTAGGCGATCCTGAAAAAATTTCAACTCAATCCATTGAGCGGTTTTCAAACTATATGATTTTTAAAATTCGAATATTTGTCTCATCCGTGGCAATGCAATGACGTCACCGCATGGGACAGTCAGCCGGCTTGAAGTTTTTGCATCTGCAGAATGTTTTAGCGTTTGTGCATATTAAATTTAAAAAATGGAAGCAAATTTCGTAAAAGCAGACTCTTCTAATTTGCCGGTTTGTTAATGGTTATGGATTTTTTTATTAAAAACTATGACTTTATCAGTGCTGAGATGAGAGGAGTAAAAATGCAAAGGTATGTTTCAATAATGTGTAAAGCTTCTTTAAAGAACGTTTGTAGCAAAAGTTTTGATGTTTTTGTACCATAAAAATAGTAAATGAGAATAAGGATTTTGCGTTTAATTGGACGAAACCGTTTCTGTTACAGGTTTCAAAGATTTACCTAATCAAATGCTAAATTCTTGTTACTATTTTTATTTCCATGGAAACTACATAAAATCTACTTAATATCTTATAAATATATTAATAATATAATATTTATTATGTATTTTTATATAAATACTATATGTATCTGTATAATATTCACAAAAAAATCAACAATGGAAAAACACTAACACTAGTGTAGTGTTTCTAGAGGATACAAAAGTGTTTATTACATATCTAAATTAACGTTGCTTTCAAAATAAATAATTTTTCAAATAAAAGATATTAAAAAAAAACAAATCAAAAAGTAGAGACTAATAAACTATTGATTTTAGATCCGCACGACAAAATTACAGAGACATTATTATTTTCTTAGGTGTCTTCACACTAGGGAACAATACAATATTTATATTTTTTTTTCTGTTCTGTGTCTTCCATATTGCTAACAAAATTCGGTATCTTAACGTACTCAATCCAAATTAACAGGCAACTAAAACCCGACTGCCCGAATGACTGACAACACAGGCAAGTATGCGGCATCGGTTTCCCATGCGGTGACGTCACACCCGCCGATTCAGCGGATGCTCAGCGCGTCAGTTTATGATTTTTTTTGGATGATTTGTAGGCGATATAAAATTCTAATTTTTTGCAGAAAACCTTAAAATTGCAGTATCTTTCCATTAAGCAAATAAAAAACATTTGCTGAATGAACCCATTCTACGGAATTTTTCATAATTTTTACGTCTTTATTCACTGAACTAAATTTTGGCAAAAGAACGAGGTATTTTCAACAATTTGACTGGCCTACTATGCGCCTGTTGCATTTCCCCTTATTTGAACTTGCTGGTTTTGTGATAAAATCATATCATGCTATCATATTCAGTTTTTGATGGAATTTTTTTAATAACATCAATTAGCACCAAAACAGTATGTCTTATACCTAATTTTATTTAATAAAGCAACTCTTAAATTCAACAAAAAATTATTTGGGACACTTTTTTGTTTTATTGATATTATCAGAACTACGAAAAAGTCCGTCTTAAATAAAAATATAAATACCTATTTTAGACAAACCTAGAGAATCTACTCTCCGTGATGGACTGGATCCAGGTAAGAAAAATTCAGACCAATCATCGCCTCGTTTAACTAAGCCTTTTTCAAGCGTTCCTTGCCCGAGGAATATGACATTCAGCAAACGCTGATCGACAAGGACTATGGAATGTCATCAATTGAGGGCCTAAAAAGTGCGATCGATTCTAGTTTCGTTGAATGGGAAGCAATTTTCAGAAAGATAACATTCCAAGGAGCTTCAGATAGAACTCTTATCGTATATTTCAAGAATTATTTGGAATCGCTGTTCAAGATGTTGACGAATAAATTTAATAAATGGTATGTGTCCTTGTTACGTTTTTAACTGCAACTATACAGGGCATTCCAATACTCCACGTCTTATTTCCAAATTGACTGTTTCCAGGGAACTTTTTGACATGCTCTGGCTTTACTCGAGGCTGCAACTCTACGTGAACACGGTCGTTTCGAAGGAACGGGAGGACCGCGAGATGTACTGCATGGATTTGGCCAAGCAGATCATGCCCAATACTGTTTCCGTCATAACCTACAAGGTGACGGGTGACCAGACATTTGCGACCTATAAAGTCCAAAGCTTTTTCGAAAAACTCAAGCAGAAACTGACGGAGTCGATACAAAATTCGAAATTGGAGGACGCCACTAAGGACATGTTGCAGGAAAGGCTAAAAAAAGTTTCCTTGGGGATGATAACGACTGGGGACCATACCGCCGCTATCAATAACAATCAGGTCCTCACCTTAACGGAGAATGATTATCAGGCGAACGTTGTGGAATCCTTGAGGAATTACAGAAGAATCGTGTATTCTCTGGCTGGTACAGAAGCTACTCCTGCCTCTTTGTAAGTATAAAATATATTTTTTTATAATAATAATAATAATTTACTAATGACAATCCATTATAGTCTTTCCGAAGTCAGTTGAACATGTAANTAACGATCTTCCAGATGGACTGCATTTCCACCCTCCAGAGATCCAAAAATTTTTTAGTAACGCCACGCCATCTATACAGAAAGATTTGAACTAACAGTTCTAACTACAATTTGAAGCTATTCGAGGGACCTAACAACCTCAGTTTCCGGAATTAAAATAAATTTCTTAATTTTGGAGATATTAGCAGCGGGAGTGTTAAATGGCACATCCTGTATGTTAAAAGTCAAATTTTCGCTGTATAAAATGCGAAAAGCTGTCACCTTTGACAGTAGATAGAAGATAAAAGATTTTTAAAGCTTCGCAAATGATTACAGTGATATTTTTAAAACGTCAAGATCATGAAACCAAATTAAGAATAAAAGTGGGCCCAGATTTGAACCCTGAGGTAATTAATTATAATTTTATAACAAGTAAATTATTAATGATATAAAAATAATCATGTTTCATCCATAAATTGTTTTTGACAGTTTTAGTTGTCTATTGAAGGTATTTTAGCGTAATTTGATACTTTTTTTTTGGATATTAAATACGTTATTGTTATCCAATCGTGCACGTGCCGTAAGTTCGCGACGGACGTCTTTTAATTGGAGCTAATTGACAAAAGATATTTCCAGCAGTAAATTTGAATCCGGGCGGAATCATATCGATCGTGGAACCTGAGAAAATTTCATCTCGAGCCGTTCAAGTTAACGAGCTTGATATTTCTTGTTTCCAATCAGCTAAGTGGGAAGGGCGCACAAAAGAATGTTGAATTTTAATTGCTGTTCATTTCCCACCCTTTCTTATAAAAGTTATTTCGCATCAGAAATTAAATTCTTGTAATTTTCATGTTTTTGCTCTTGCCCGTTTTAAGATCATTAAAAAATTAAGATTATATTATTACACTCGAAGAATCTCTGATGAAAATTGTTTCGCACCGGTTTTTGCCCACCCCCCCCGAGAAATGAAAGTGACTGGAAGTTTGTCATTATTGTATTATTTCGCGGCTCGGCCTCGCTTCGCAAAAACTGTAGCGATTTTTGTGAAATTGAATTTGAACGCCCTTCAATTATCTCCGCCAGACACGGCGGATCCTTTAATTTGTTTCTGCTTCGACCTTGATCCTATAACACAGTTCTGGTAGTAGGTACACCTCTTGCCACACTCAAGTTAATGGCAGGGTGCGTGCTCCAAAAAAAATTCAAATAAAAAAAGTCAAATCTTCAATTCTTAGTGCTTTAAATAACTCCAGTATTATTTGACCGATTGTAACTAAATCCGATGTATAGTCTTTCCGGAAACAGTTGAACATATAAAAAACACCTGGCAATAAAATTTAATTACTTTCATAGGCGTCAATAAATAAGTTTTCTAAAAAATTATAATAATTTGTATATAATGTGTAGAAAATTTCTATTATATGTTCATTTGGCCAACAACATATTTTAATAATTATTTAAATTAAACAATTTTATTTTATTGATGGTAAATTTCGTTTTGTTCCGTTTCAAAAGGTCTCCAAAATGCCATGTAATAATATTATTTCTCCGTTTCGCAATTGTAATATCAATGATTAATAGAAAGTGCCTATAATAAATTTAAAATTGCCTGAATCACACCAAATTCCGCATTGCTGCACTGCACTGCTGGGCAATTTGTCAACCACTTGTCAACAGCTGAGATTTATTGTCCAGTGGCTCAATGCAGCTGTGCTTGTATTTCGTTTGCCCTCGCTCGCATTCTTGCGTCAGCGACCGAACCTGGTACATACTGTCAACCTCTTGGTTCTTCAATTGATATCGGAAAGACTATACCGTAGGTCGAAGTTATAAAATGATAATGAAGGACAATTTACTAAATCGTATATCAATGTGTTTTAAATGAACTAAGAGATTTGCACAAATCCTCAGTGATATCAGAAAGACAACTATTGTAATATCTTCGTAACTAATTGGATGGGGCTACATATGAAATAAAGGCTTATGCCTATTTGTACGCGGACAATATTAAATAGTAACTGTGACAATAATTACCAATAATATACGAGACCACTAATTAAATCTAAAATAAACAACAAATCCGCATCATGTCTATGTTTTCATAATTTCATAATTAATTTCATTCAGGTAAATTCAGAAATACGTAAAATAGTTCTTTTTGCACTATTTACAATATATCACTTTTGAAAAACTTTAATTCTTTTAAATAACATAAACTATGAAACAGAAATAAATAATTAATGATAAATGAGATACACAAAAATAAGTAAATAATCTACTCGCCTGATTTTTTACGGCATATGACATACTTGAAACATTGTGGATAATCTATGAGTACTGAGTACTTGTACCAGTAGTGGCGGACAAAGCCCCTCTTAAATGTTGAAACAATCTTATAAACTTATTTTTATTTAGTACTTGCTAGTCGGTAAAATCATCTGATATCGTCTTCTTGCAACAGCATCGTTTTCTTCTAACAAAAAAGTATACTCTAACTCTTTTTGCTAGTAGGCGCGTCACACTTGCCTACAAGCCTAGGAGGGAACTGAGGCCGACTCAAAGCTGCTTATAGTTTTAGTGTTTTAGTTTGCGCCGTCGCGGTTAATGTACGCGTTGCATAGTACGCGGGTAGGGTCTGATGTCAGTGTGAGAGATAGTACAAAGGTTTTTGGGATAAGAACAAGACGGGTATTAATTTAAAGTAAATAAAAAACGACTTCCTTACAACAAAACAAAGTAAGAGCAAATTTAACGTAATTTAATAGATACTTATTATAATGAGCGTTCAAATAAAAACGTGGTCGAAGTTGGCTCTGACACATTGGACGTAGGGAGTAGCTTATAGCGACCAACTTAACCTCATCTCTAAACGAGCTGTATAGCAGCTGTCAGTTTCAATAACGTTAATGACTATATAACTTTATTTTAAAGAATAATCGTGATAACAATAACAAACAATTAAAGGAGCTGCGGAAAGTGTCCCCCTCCTTGTTATAACAATAAATTAAAGCAGCTGCTGAAAGTGTCCCCCTCCTTGTTCCAAGCACTTTTCACACCTGTTCCTCAAAGAATTAAAGACATTTTCTAAGATGCTCGGGGTATTGTTAATTTCACG